AACTGCGATCCACCTTTCCATTACCAAATAAAAAGCAAATTTCAACCACTTTTCTGGACAGAAAATACAACGATATGAAGACGAAGATTAGCGTGCAGTTGGAAGAAGCTCAAAATTAGCATTTACAGTGTGAGGGCTGGAGCAATATGCACAATGAAGTTGTTTGTTTCTACCTTAGCCGGCGTTCTTTGTCGAATTTTTGCTTACCAAAGCACATAGACATAAATAGACGAAATGGGGAAAATATTACAAAAATATGGACTAGCCCACAAATTTTTTGTAGTATTTGGTGATAACGCGGCCAATATGGCAAAAGCATTTAGGCTACTTAAAGAAATATATACTCACTTGGTACCTTTAGAATGTTTTGGCACACACACTGCGTCTTTTATGCAATGATATTTTAAGTTCTCCCTCAATCAAACAATGTATTATAAATAGCATAAGAAATAATAGAAATAAATAGCAGCAAGAATTACAACATAAGCCTTAAATTACCTTGCAAGACTCGTGGGGGCTATTTATTCACCATTGAAAGTCTCACTCTAACTAAGAAAAAAGCTATCACTCTAACTAAGAAAATACAATCTCTTTTGATGGACGACGATCATTTTTGGCCGCAGATCATAATCTTACATGAAATTTTGAATCCAATTGTGTCTTGGATTACAGTTCTTAAAGAAAATTTGCATTTAATTCATAAGATTGATAATGCTCTTAGAGAAATCGAGTGTTCATCAATAAACTTGCTGATTTTTTGAGTAATGATGAAGAACGTTCGAACTTCATTAAAAAAATTAAAGATCGAAAGAAGTTTGCTACACTTGACTGCTAAAATGTTAGATCCAATCTCTCTCACGAAGAGTAAATTGACGCTATGGCATTTATATACATACAGGGTGTTTCTGTAAATCGTAGCATAAAAATGTTTGATCTAAACCCATAAATGGCTAAGATATAGGCCTTCAAAGTTAAGAAATTTTCAACATATTCTTAAATATTTTCAATATGGTTCGTCTTAGAAAGACTAAATTTGGCAAACAGTGCAATGTTATCATAAGAAATCGTTTAAGATCACTATTGAAAATATCGAATCGCGGGATCAATGCTATACAGGTGTTCACAAAAATTATTTCCTTGAAACTTGTTTATTATGTCATAAACCTTTAAATTTTCATTCAAAAAGCCTATTTCATTTTAAAATTATTTTCACTCTTAGAAATTTTTGATTAGACGCATCGTTTTCGAGATATTTGCATAAAGATACAACCTCAATTTTGCAATGTTTTCATTAATCTTAGATGCTTATTGAAACAAATTGTAAGTAAAGACAACCCATAGATAAACATTCGATATAGATAAATATCGAAAGACATTTACGTAAGATAGGAAATTTAAGACAGAAGTATGTAAATAATGGGAAATAAGAGATAGAGGTCAGTTCATACACCCCAACTAGGAGAAAACATTTTAGATTTTGTGGCAGATCGTAGTACTGCTAGTACTGTTGGTAACAACAGTTTAGACATTTCAGAATATCCAAAGGTACATCTTGGCATGTCCGACATGAATAGCAATTGTATTCATACCATTTGTCGAGAGTAGAAGTAAATCCAGATTTTATGCTATATTGAGTAATATAATTAAACAGATTTCTTTTAAACGAACTTGAATCTTTTTGTGAATAACTCGAAACCGATGCGTTTAATCAAAAATTTATAAGAGTAAAAATAATTTTAAAGTAATAAAAATAATCTTTTCGAATCAGTTGGAAAATTTAATGGTTTACGACATATTACAAATTTTTTAAAGAAATAACCTTTGTGAACACCTGTCCAGCATTGATCCTGTATTAGCATATTTTCAAAAGCACTATTTGCCAAATTGTATCCTTCTAAGACAAACCATATTGAAAATGTCTAAACATTTCTTAATTTTGATGGCCTATATCTTTTATTTTTACACGAATCGTCATCGTTTTGACTTTACTATTTGTAATTAAAATTATGCCATCACTTACAGACACACCTGTACACTGTAGCCAAGCAAATGAAACTAGACGTTATGGCGGATTTGGCAAAGCATAAGTCTAATGAAGGTTTGTGGACTAGAGCTTTTGTATGGGAAAATACAAGCCTGGCATTGATGAGCCCTTTGTCGTGGTGAAAAAGACTCTGTAGCAGTACTACATTAAGCAAAATTGCTGTTCGTATTTTGTCAGAATCAGTCACATCAGCAGCAACTGAAAGATCGTTCAGTACTTTTAGCTGGATACACTGTAAGAGACGCAATCGTCTTGAAAGTGAAAGAGCAGGAAATCACTTTCAGTTCTTGAGGAATAAAATTTTGAAATTATCGACTAAATTCATATAAAATCCAGTTCTTGGAATATGAGTATGAAAATCTTCCAAACTGTTAATAAGAGTGTCTTCTTTCCAATAAACCAACCCGTTTTGAAAAATAGTTCTTAGTTTTTGACAAAACAATATTTGAAGTTTTGATAAAATTTTTGATGTTGCAATTTTCATCGATAGCTTTCAAAATTCGCTATAAAATTCATTTCTTGAAAGACCCTCGTGGAAATATCACCAATTATTAATTATAGTATCCTCTTTCTAATGCAAAAAGCCGTTTTTAAAAATCACTTTTAGTTCTGGAGAAATAAATTTTTGAAATAATCGACAATTTTTTCGAATTGTGCAATTTTCGCCGATTAAGTTTTAAAAATTCGTATAAAATCCAGTTCTTGGAATATGAGTATAAAAATTTACCAAAGTGTTAATAAACGTGTCTTCTTTCCAACGAACCAACACGTTTCGAAAAATAACTTTTAATTTTTGAGAAACAATATTTGATGTTTTGATAAAATTTCTGATGTTACAATTTTCATCTATAACTTTCAAAATTCGCTATACAATTCATTTCTTGAAGGATCCTTGTGGAAATATCACCAATTATTAATCAAATTATCATCTTTTTAATGCAACAAGCCGTTTTGAAAAATCGCTTTTAGTTTTTGAGAAATAAATTTTTGAAATAATCGACAATTTTTTCAAATTTTGGAAGTTCCGCCGATTAAATTTTAATAAATCGTATAAAATCGATTTCTTGGAATATGAGTATGAAAATTTCCTAAAATGTTATTAAAAGTGTCCTCTTTCCAATGAACCAAGCCGGTTTGAAAAATAGCTCTTAGTTTTTGAGAAAACAATATTTGAAGTTTTGATAAAATTTTCGATGTTGCAATTTTCATCGATAACTTTCAAAATTCGCTATAAAATTCAATTCTTGACGGATCTTTGTGGAAATATCACCAATTATTAATTAAAGTATCCTCTTTTTTATGCAAAAAACTGTTTTGAAAAATCAATTGTAGTTCTTGAGAAATAAATTTTTGAAGTAATCGACAATTTTTTCGAATATTGCAATTTTCGCCGATTAAATTTTAAAAATTCGTATAAAATCCAGTTCTTGGAATATGAGTATAAAAATTTACCAAAGTGTTAATAAATGTGTCTTCTTTCCAATGAACCAACACGTTTCGAAAAATAACTTTTAGTTTTTGAGAAACAATATTTGATGTTTTGATAAAATTTTCGATGTTACAATTTTCATCGATAACTTTCAAAATTCGTTATAAAATTCATTTCTTGAAGGATGCTTGTGAAAATATCACCAATTATTAATTATAGTATCTTCTTTTTTATTCAAAAAGCCGTTTTGAAAAATCACTTGTAGTTCTTGAGAAATAAATTTTTGAAGTAATCGACAATTTTTTCGAATTTAGCAATTTTCGCCGATTAAGTTTTAAAAATTCGTATAATATCCAGTTCTTGGAATATGTGTATGAAAATTTCCCAAAGTGTTAATAAAAGTGTGTTCTTTCCAATGAACCAACCCGTTTTGAAAAATAGTTCTTAGTTTTTGAGAAAACAATATTTGAAGTTTTGATAAAATTTTCGATGTTGCAATTTTCATCGATAATTTTCAAAATTCGCTATAAAATTCATTTCTTGGAAATATCATCAGTTATTAATGAAAGTATCCTCTTTTTAGAGTTGCTTCGTTAGTTTAATCAGCATCAAAAAAGTTCATTTTGTATCTTGGATCCAAATAAATTGACATATCTCATCAGCTTTCTTATTAATTTAACACTAGCTTTAACTTACATTTGCATACTAAAACTAATCATTACGGATGCTACATACAAAAACCAGAAACTGGAATCTTTCCCTTGATATTAAAATCATCCCCTAGGTCAAAAAATTGATTTTGTTTTGAGTGAATCAATGTAATCATAGGAAAACCAATTTTGGCGTTTCGATTTGTGGCTTTCGCGGTTACCCAAAACATGTTGTTGGGTTTTGGATAACTTGAACCCGATGTTTTTCATTTTTAATTTCACAAGTCACAAGTTATTTTATTTTATGTGTTGTTTCCTCACGCAATGTTTTTTGAAAGCTTTAGTTAGCATGTTGATTTTTATCTATACCTGTCTAATAAACATAAATATTAAAAAACATCCTCACAAATTATTCTCTATTAAAATGCACGCCATGAAACATTTAACCTGATAATGCGCATTCCCCAATAACGAAACTCAATTTCAAATCGAGCAAATATTCATCTATCACGTTAACGTTACATTGTCAAAATCGTTATTAACTTGTCGAAACTCATTCTCTGTTAAATTAATAACTAATTTGAAGTAATAAAAGCGAAATAAGTAAAGATAAAAATTGTTTACTTTAAGTAGGTTTTAAAATAAACTTCTTAGAAATTTGTTGGTTAAGAAGATTGTTTCGAGCGATTTCTAAGATAAAATCTTTTTAGTAGCAAGAAAAATAAAGCAAATAAGGAAAACTTACTTAATTATAAATAATAAATTACCTACATCAATTTAAACTCTTATTTGTACATGTAAAGCGATAACAAATCATTTTTATAAATTTTCCAAGAAAAAAGTAATAATAATAATAATAATAAAATTTTTTTCTTACCTTCCGATGATTGTGTGTAACACAAAACAATTAAAACGACGATAATCTTGAACATTTCTGTTTTTGATATGAAACACATCGTTCCAGTTTCTTTTTTAAAAAATTTTTTATCAAAGTTACTGGTAGTTTTGAATTTTGAACAAGAACTCGGTGTTGTGCGTGCGATCGCTCACTTTTATACGAGCTTGGATGGGGCTGCTTTGGAGAAGAGGGGATGTATGGGGGTGGAACTAGCCCACTTCACGCGTCCAGAAACAATTCACGTTCGCGTATAAAAAGTAGAGATCAATTTGAAATAAAATTGTATGATGGAACTATTGGTTATTGAGAGAGATTCAAGTTTTTAGTGTGGATTTAGAGATTATTTTTTATGAGGTTAAAGCTTTTATGTTTTATACGGTTGATTAAAAAGATTAAAAATTGTTTAAAAGCTCTGAAAGGAAGGCAATTCAAATTATATCAACGATTTCTTTTTATTTAGCCCAAATAATTTAGATAGTACAGTTTCTGCCCAGACACCACAACTCCTCGATCATCAAACGTTGAGAGTAAACTTCTGCTCCAACTTCTGTAATTATGTTATACCATCAACAAGGTTTAGTAATCAATCGTGGTATATAGGAAAGGAATTTTCTTGGCATTAAGCCAAATCACTTCAAAATTAACTTTGGTCATCCTGCCTAAATTTACTGTAAATGCAGAAAAAATAGAAGAAGCACCCAGTTGGTGCGTAAAAAGTTCCTAAACCAGCTTGCAGCACTATATTCCTTCCGTGATGTGCGCTTGTACAGCTTAGACGTGTATTCCGGTTATCCGCATTTAATAAAGTGATAATGTCCAAGGGTATTTCTAGGGCTGAAAATAAAGAAGATGATTCTATGGTCGCCCGAATTGTTGGATAAGTTTTGCTGGATAAGTTTATTGAAAAGTTAAAAGACCGGGTGATTGACATCTTTAAAGACAAGTTAGAGGAAGACAGAAACTTGTTGCTCTGGAGGCCCGTGTTTCAACTTTGGAGGAACAAGTCTCTGAAAATGTTTTTCTGTTGGAAGAACACGAACAATATTCTCGTAGAAATAACCTACGTTTATTTGGCGTTGTTGAGAAACCTAAGGAAGATCTTGCCGAGGTGCTTGGGAAGAATTGTAAAGAAGAACTGAAGATCGATCTAAAGTTGGAGGATGTGGATTGTTGTCGTCGTTTGGGGGCTACTGCGGCTGCTGATAAAACGCCGAGACCTATTATTGTCAAGTTTTGTCGGAGGTCTGTACGTAATTCTATTTATAGAGCCCAAACTAAACTTAAAGGCTCAAAACTGGTTATTCTGGAGGATTTGACTCGTGAACGGGTGGGCGTAGTAAGGTATTTGGTTAAAAAATTCGGTCCAAAAAATGTCTTTACGGAAAATTGTAACATTTTTTATAAACAAGATGATGTTATTAAAAAAATTAGTTCTATGCGAGACAAATCTTACTTGTAATTTGTTTGCGGATACCGTTGGCAACGTCTACTTTTTCGGATTTTCTTTTTGTATTTATCTATATACAGGGTGAGTCAGAAAGAATGGGAAATCCGAATACCGGAGATACTAGACACCAAAATATGATGATTTAACGTAACATCTCTTATACAAATGTCAGTGGTTTTCGAGGCATAGGGTGTTGAAAGTTAAAATTTTTTTTCGAAATTTCTTGATAATTTTGAAAGTTTTTGTACTATTAACATAAAATGGGGTAGTTTTATGTTTTCGAGCATGAGAAATACGAATTTGAAACTTGTTTTGTTATTGCTCGTAGAGGGCGCTGGGTGAGTCGGGAGGAACGGACCAAACTTTAGGAGTGTATTGTACGCTTGAAAATAATGTAAAAAAACTCATATGTTGTTATCCGATTTTCATTTTTTTCAATTGATTGCATAACTACAGTTAAACATTTAACGTAGATTTGACAGTTTGATTTGCATTAAGTGCTATAAAATGCCAAGTACTTATTCACATTTAGAATATACAGACATGTTATTTGTATATGGTTTTTGTAACGGGAGTGCTACAGCTGCTGCAGATGAATATCGTCAACGGTTTCCAAATCGCAGACATCCTAATAAAAACGTTTTTATTAGGGTTTTCAATAAACTGCGTGAAACCGGTACACTTCCCAGCGTTAAAGTAACATCTGAACGAGCTACGCGTCAATGTTTAAATGAAGTAGAACATATTTTGGATCTAGTAGAAGAAGATGCAACGACCAGCTTACGCAGAATTGCTGTTCAATTAGACATCCCACAAAAGAGAGTAATAAACACACTCCACGAGCAATGCTTATATCCATACCATTTAAGTAAGGTACAACATCTACTGCCGGAAGATTATGTAGAATTTTGTCGGTGGATAAATAATGATCATCGTGTTGTATCGCATATTCTTTTCACGGATGAAGCAACATTTACCCGCGACGGCCTACATAATACTCGTAATAGTCACGTATGGTCCGATGAAAATCCCCATGCAACAATCGAAAACAACTTTCAACACAAGTTTTCGGTAAATGTGTGGTGTGGTATGATCAACGGTTATTTAATTGGCCCTTTCATTTTGGAGAATCGCCTCACAGGAAACCATTACCTAGAGTTTTTACAAAATGAATTAAATGATTTACTGCAGGATGTTCCTCTAAACATTAGAAGGCAAATGTACTTTCAACACGATGGAGCTCCGGCGCATTTCGCTCGTCAGGTCAAGCAACATTTGGACGAAAGGTTTCCAGGACGTTGGATTGGTCGTGGTGGTCCTATTAGTTGGCCTCCAAGATCTCCAGATCTCACAGCACTTGATTATTGTTTGTGGGGATGGTTCTAAAGTGAGGTATACAAAGTCAAAGTTGACACTAGGGATGCACTTAGGCGCATTCTAAATGTTGCAGTTAATATTAAGGAAAATCATGTAGCAATAAGGAAAGCAACAAGAGCTCTTAGTAAACGAAGCCGGAAATGTTTAGAAGTTAATGGCGATATTTTCGAACAATTACTAAAATAACGCTGATGACCAATATTTAATGTTAATGTATAAGATTTTGTTTAATTGTAGTTATGCAGTAAGAGTTATGCAATAAAAAAAATAAAATAAAAGAAAATCGGATAACAACATATGAGCTTTTTTACATTATTTTCAAGCGTACAATACACTCCTAAAGTTTGGTCCGTTCCTCCCGACTCACCCTGTATATATTGTTTTTTAAATTTTTGTAAGTTTCTTTTTTTTTCTTTTTTGTGGCTGCATGATGCGATGTGATTATCGGGGTTATGAGTAACCTCTTTAGATTTGCTCACTTAAACATTAGATCCTTAGTCCCTAAGTTTAATCAATTTTGTAATCTTATTAGACATCAGAATTTTGATGTATTTGCTATGACTAAGACCTGGTTGTCGTCTGATGTTGCGGACGGATCGTTGTTGGTTGAGGGATACAATTTGGAAAGTGTGGACCGCATTGGTAGGGGTAGTGGTGTGTGTTTTTATGTAAGAAATATATTTAAATACACTATAATTGAAAGTTCCTGTAATATTGAACAACTATGGTTACTATTCCACGTGAATAAACGTAAAATTATTTTGGGAGTTGTTTATCGTCCTCCCAATTTTCCATGTAGCGTTTTTCTGGGTGAACTTGAGGAAACTATCTTTCTGTGTCTGCCTTTTACTCACGAGATTATAATCTGTGGTGACTTCAACATTGATTTTCTTAATTCTCAAAAGAAGTTGCAAGGCTTCAGTGTTTACACTGAAGCCTTGCAAACGCTTTTTTCATCCTTTGATGCTAAACAGTTGATTAGTGAGCCAACTAGAATTACTCGTACTTCGTCCCAATTGATTGATCTTGTTTTTGCCTTCTGTACGGTGGATATCAGACATTCGGAGGTTATTGCTTCTCAGATTTCTGATCACGATATCATCTTTTGTGAGTTGTCGTTAGCTGAATCTTTCTCCGCAGTTTCTGTTTGGGTCGGGAGAAGTCTGAGTTTGATCGATGTGGCGGGTTTTAGGGAATTTTTAAAGCAAATTTCTTTAAATCATATTTTTTTATTGAGGACATTAACGAGAAGCCTTTTCTCAATGATAGCATCCTTTCTGCTTTTGATGTTTTTTCACCTGTGGTGTGTAGACGGAAAAGCAGTAGGATACGCCCACCCTGGCTCACTGACAACTTAAAACTTATGATTTCATTGCGAAATGAGGCGAAAGCGAACTTTAAGAGGAATCAGTCCTGCGCTGGATGGGACTATTATAAGTCTATGCGGAACTTAACGACATTTACTGTGAAGGCAGAGAAAAGAGCTTATTTTCGTCATATTGGTAGTATGCGTGACAAAAGACAATTGTGGTTTTAGCTAGGGTCACTTAGTTTGAAAAAGATGTCAGTATCTGGTATCCCTGCTGTTTTGAAAAATGTTAACGAACTGAATGATTACTTTCTTAAGAGTATCTCTGATATTCTTGATTCTATGCCTCTTGATCAATTGGTTTTGGATTTTTAAACTAGTTTGCCTAATAATGGAGGTGTTTTTGAATTTTCTACTGTTTGCCCTACTTTGGTCGAGAAACTTGTGCATGATTTAAGGTCATGTTATTAAGCTTGCCTGTCTAGTTATTTTACCTTATTTTACACATATGTTAAATGTCTGTATTACTGAGGGACGGTTTCCGGACATTTGGAAGCATGCTCTAATTAAACGTATTCCTAAAAATCAAAATCCTACCAGTTTTAGTCATCTCAGCTAAAACCAATACAGCCTTCAGGATTCTTATCACAGAAGCTTCGAGAGTGAGTCAATTAGACAGATTTGGTCGAATACATAACCATGGCTGTAATAATAACTGAATAGTATGCCTAAAATCTCTACTTAGCAATCTCTGACAAACAAGGCCTATTTTATCAAAAGATGAAATGGTGCTCTTCGATTTCTGGTAGTACCCAAAGAGGCAGGAATCATAAGGCATAGAAAAAGGGAAAGATGCCATTAAAAAATACTGTTAAAGCAACTATACGAAAAATCTAATAAAAAATTTTCTAGACCATAAATTGTTTATAATAATTTCTTTTTGATTCAGAATTGTAATAATTATAAACTTTTATCGAATGCTATTT